GATGGGATGGGATGGGATGGGATGGGATGGGATGGGATGGGATGGGATGGAGTGGATTTTAAGGTCCCTTCCCACCCAAACCATTCCGTGATTCCATGCAAACACAGAAGGGAATGCAGGGAGCAGGAACCTTTCACCTGCATTTGTGAGCTCCAGGCGCCCTCTGCCCCTCACGCTGTGCTTGGAACCAGCAGCGAATGAAACTCGGCCTCCTGTGCCATGTTAAGCCCAAACCTTAAGCCTGAACCTGCCCCTCCTCTTAAACCCCCTTTAACATGGAATTTCCATTTTCTTCTGCTTTAAAACCTCTCTCAGCTGCAGCCTGTGGGGCCCTGGGCACCCCTAGTGCAATCATGTGTTTAAATGCGATTTAAATAACATTTATTTGTTATTTATGTGTATAACATTTATATGGTATTTATTTTATAACACCGGTTTATATTAGTCAAATATGCTTTCAATAACATTGATATAAGTAGCATTAATATGCTATTTATTTGAGCCAAATTAATGTTTTATATGATAAAATATGATTTTTATATTACTTAATTAACATGGAAATAACATGTTTAGTAATGTACATGTTTAAATAACACATTATTTAAGCACCCCAAGGCCCGAGACCCCGCTGGGGCCGCGGCGTTGCCATGGCAGCGCAGGGGGGAAGCGTTCAAAGAGGACACACGGGCGGTCGGCGCCGTCCCTGCAGCCTGGAAGGGCTCAAACCGGGTTTTTTACACAAATTCTCTAAAATCACTTCTTTTCACCCCAAAGAGGCTGTGGCTGCCCTGATGGCGCTGTCCCTTGTCCCTATCCCTGCCCGCGTCGCCCTCCCCGGAACGTTTGTGCCTCGGAACGTTTGTGCCTCGGAACGCTTCTGTTCAGTTGCGGTTCCCGCCCGGAGCGGGGGAGCAGTGGGAAAATGGCGGCGCCCATGAGCCAGGGCAGCCGCGTCCCCGAGCCCGGCGCGGCTCCTTACGGGAACTTCCCAAATTATTCCCGGTTCCACCCGCCCGAGGGGCGCGTCAGCCTCCTGCCCCAAGGGCTCCTGCGCAGCCTCTTCCCCGCGGCCACCCGCCCGCTCCTCGGGCTCGATGTGGGCTGCAACTCCGGGGTGAGGGGCGGCACGCGCTGGGGGCAGCTGGGGAGGCACCAGTTTGGGGTACTGGGGCACTGGGGCAGACTGGGACGCCCTGGTGTGGGGAATACTGTGAGGCACTGGGGACACTGAGGCAGACTGGCAGTCCCCTGGTACTGAGGGCACTGGAACAGACTCGGGGGCACCGGGGACAATCCAGCCCGTGGAAAAGGCTCAGGATGGGACACTGGTCTGGGGTGGTGCAGACTGGGAACACTAGTGGGGAACGAAGGAGGAGGACAATGGGATAAACTGGGAATACTGGGAAAGGCAGAGGAAGATGGAGGAGCCGAGGGAGGCAGATAGGAACGGCGAGGGGGCACTGGAGGGGAGTGCTGGGGGCATTGGCACAGATGGGGAGCACTGGGGCAGGCAGTGCCGGGGCTGTGGAGGGAGGACTGGGAACAGTGGGACAGTCACCCCCCTGGGATGCTGGGAGGAGTGGGGCAGACGGGAAATACTGGGAAGAAACATTGTCCTGGATCTGTTGAATCCCTCTGGGAATGAGGACTTCTTCCCTATCCGGAACCACCCTTTCCATGAGAAATTTTCCCTAAAATCGAACCTAAACCTTCCCTGGAATTTGCTTCCTCTGATTCAGTTTCTGGGAGCAGATCCTGACCCCTCATGGCTCCACCTCCTGTCCAGGTTGGAGAGTGAGGAGGTCTCACATGAGACCTCCCAGCTCCCTCAGGGATTTCCCAGCTCTGACTGGTGCTCCAGCCCTTCCCCATGTCCATTCCGAGCTCCAGACACATTCCAGTCCCTCACAGGCCTGCCCTGGATCCAGGTGTGGCCTCACCTGGCCCAGCACAGGTGCATTGTTGATCCCACCTGAACCCTGCCCTGACCCTGGCTGGGGCAGTCTTGCTGTTCCCGGGCTTTGGAATTCCCCCTGAGGCATCTCCTAAGGGAGATTCCAGATCCCATTCCAGGTGAGCCTGTGGAGCAGGTCAGTGTGAGGCACCTGTCACCAGCAGAGCACATTCCTGGTGCCTGTGCTCCAGGAGCTCCATGGAATCTCCTTTAATTAAGGATTAATTAACTTTCCATCAGTATGCACTGTGGAAAGATTCCAGGCTGGGAATTCCGGGGGCTTGGAGCCACCTGGTCTGGTGGAAGGTGTGCCAGGGCAGGGTGGAAGGGGGTGAGCTTCCTCCAGCCAGGAGCAGTCCATGTGTGGTTACTGCGCTGCAGAGAGGGAGAAAAGACAGCAACACACACGGAGCTCTTTAGGGAAAAAAGGCCAATTTATTGTACAGTCAGCCCGGATTTAAAGTGTGTCAGTGCAGCCAGGACAGGACAGGAGCTCATTGGACAATTGGGAAAAACATCCTTGGGACAGCACCTCAGGATGTATCCTACGGGAAAGACACCAGGTGTTAATGTTTATTATGAATTCCATTCTGTTTGTCACCATGTTACCACTCTGGGAGACTTCCTCCCTAACTGAAGCTGCAGTCAGCTTGTCAGCCTGGGAATGGAGCTGAGAGTCAGGAGAAAGCCAGGCCTGAAAAGAATTTATAAGCTGTATTTCCCTAGCTCTGTGAATGTGTGTGTCCACAGTCCATGATTCCTGGTTTGTGGAGCAGCCCCTCAGTGTGGGAGATCCAGGCTGTGCTCAGGACTCCCAGGATAGATCTTTTGCTGATCTCGGTCAGATTTTCCTTTGGACACCCATGGAGAGGAAGCTCTGGGGAGGTGTCTTGGTTTGAAAGACAGATATTTGCTAAGGAAAGGCAAGAACTCCTTTTTCTGAGATGGAGAGTGCAACCCCCTCCTTTCTAATTATGATAGTTTCAAATCAGAGGCTTTCAGGCAGAAGATATGGGGATAGGAATAACAGTTCTTTACTAATATAAGAAAGGCAAAACAGCAGAAACAACAACAGGTATAAAAATTGACAACAGAACAGTCTAGCTCCGCTCCAGTCCCTTCTGGCCAAGGCCCTCTCTCCCTGCGCTCAGTTCCCGGTGCTGTGGGGGCAGGGCAGGTCCCGCGCAGTTGAAGAGGGCTGGGTGATGGCGGCCGCGGCCCAGGGGAGAGAGAGGATGGGGAAAGTGACTCCCCCCCTCACGGTGTCGGTCGTGGTGCTCAGCAGAGTGTCCGGAGGTAGTAGGGTGAGCTAGGAGAGCAGCAGAGCGATGTCCAAAGGCAGGGAGCGTGGATCTCAGTGCTGGGATGGCAGGGGAAGATGCTTGGTAGGAGCCCTGGCCGTCTTACTTCCACTCCACCAGCGAGCGAGAGAGCGAGAGCGCAGACCCCTGTCCCACCTTTCCTTTTCCAGTCTCCCCTTGTCTCCCACCCCCCTGCCAGAGAAAACTGTTGCTACTAAGGTGTAGCCACAAATACTTAGCATAACAATGGGAAAAATTCCACAGAGAGAAAAGGGAACAATTCAACCCCCAAGAGGAGGTGTCCCTGAACCCCTGCTTTCCTCCCACAGGAGCTCAGCGTGGCTCTGTACCAGCACCTCCTGGGGCTCCAGGACAGCGATTCCAGCACGGAGCTGCCGGGAGCCGGGAAGGAGCTGAAGCTGCTGTGCTGTGACATCGACCCCGAGCTGATCCAGAGGGCCCAGCAGAGCAGCCCCTTCCCTGCCTCCATCTCCTTCGCCAGCCTGGACATCATGGACCCCAGAGCCAGGGAGCCCTTCCTGAGCTCCTTCCTGCAGCGCTTCGGCCGCTCCTCCTTCGACATCGGCTTCTGCATGTCCGTGACCATGTGGATCCACCTGAACCACGGGGACAGGGGCCTGCTGGAGTTCCTGGCCCTGCTGGCCTCGCTGTGCACGTTCGTGCTGGTGGAGCCGCAGCCCTGGCGCTGTTACCGGGCGGCCGCGCGCCGCCTGCGCCGCCTGGGCCGCCGCGACTTCGAGCACTTCCGGTCCCTGCAGATCAGGGGGGACATGGCCGAGAGCATCACCCGCATCCTGACCCAGCAGTGCGCCATGGAGCTCGTCTGCTCCTTCGGCAGCACCAGCTGGGACAGGAGCCTGCTGCTCTTCAAATCCACCAGTGCCCATCCCCAGGGCTCCTGCTGAGAAACTGCCTCACACATCCACGGGGTCCTGGGCAAGGGGGCAGGTCTGGGAATTCCTAAATCCCTGTTAGGACCAGGCCTTGACCTCCTGGGGGAATCCAAGGCAAGGAATATCCGTGACTGATTTTTTGGGACAAGTTTTAACTTATTTTCTGTTCAAAGAAGTGCTCCTGGAGTCCAAGTTCCTACATGTGCTTTCCATGTGTATCAGGAATATTCCCTGGAATAACAGGGAATATGCCCAAGGAATTGTAGAATGTCCTGGTTGGAATGGCCTCACAAGGATTCTCAAGTCCAGCTCCTGACCCTGCACAGGACATACCAAAAAAATCCCATTAATCCCAAAATCCCAATGCTCAAATTATCCAGACATTCCAGAACTGCTGGAATATCCAGAGCTGAAAGGGACCTACGAGGATCACAGAGTCATGGAACATCCAGAGTTGGAAGGGACTCACCTGGATCATGGAGTCCAGCTCCTAGCCCTGCACAGGACATCCCAAAATCCTACCCAGTGCCTGAGAGTGTTGTTCAAGCACTCCCTGACCTCCAGAATTATGGAATAATCAGAGTTGAAAGGGACCCACAAGGATCACAGAGTCATGGAGTGCCCTGAGTTGGAAGGGACCCCCAGGAATCATCAGCTACAACTCCTGGCCCAGGACAACCCAAAAATGCCACTGATCCCAAAATCCCAGCACCCTGAGCTTTGGCTCCTTGGGGCTGTCACCATTCCCTGGGGAGCTGTTCCAGTGCCTGACACCCTCTGGATGAGGAACCTTTTCCCAAAATCCACCCAGAACTCCCCTCAGGACTCGGGTGAGGCACTGCAGGACAATTCCCCTCCCAGCAGCCCTGGCTCAGCTCTTCTGGGACAGGGGTTCATCCCTAATGGTGAGTGTTTTGGGAATAATGTCCTTGGAATAAAAATCACTGAATTTTATCCTAAATTCTGTGTTGGGGTTTTAAATCTTGTTTTTATTCCCATTCCTTTCAGCACCTGAGAGGTGCCAGGGAACTGAGCTGCTAATTCTGTTGAACTTTCACTTTTCCTTGCTCCAAGGGAGTGAGGGAAGCCCAGGGGTGTCCCGAGCCTTGTTCCAGGTGAGCTCCATTCCAGAGGAGAGGAGGTGGCATCTCCAGGAGGTGGTGCTCGTGTCCTGCTCCTGCCCAGGTGAGCAGGGACACGGGAAAACCGGGATGGATTTGTCTTTGTCCTTACCGGGAATTCCTTTTTTCCCCCCGCGGGGAGAGTGTAGGGGGAAAAGAAAATGTGTGGATCGGTCTGGGGATGGGAAGAGAAACCTTGGAGCCCCTTGCAGGGCCCAAAGGGGCTCCAGGAGAGCTGGAGAGGGACTGGGGACCAGGGGTGGAGGGACAGGACACAGGGAATGGATTACAGGGATGGATGGGATATTGGGAAGGAATTCCTGGCTGTGAGGGTGGGGAGGCCCTGGGATGGAATTCCCAGAGCAGCTGTGGCTGCCCCTGGATCCCTGGAAGTGCCCAAGGCCAGGATGGACATTGGGGCTTGGAGCAGCCTGGGACAGTGGCATGGGATGGGATGGGATCAATGGGATGGGATGGGATGGGATGGGATGGGATGGGATGGGATGGGATGGGATGGGATGGGTTTTAAGGTCCTTTCCCTCCCAAAGCATTCCATGATTCTGGGTGTTTCAGGATGCTGAGCAGGGTTGCAGGAAAATTTTGAGGCCCTTCCCATACATGCAGCTTGCACAGGGATCCTGCAGCTCCTCCAGCACATGAATCCCTTTGGGAACTGAGCAGCTCCCTGGCATTCCAGGAGCTCTGGAGCAGCTCTGCTGACTCCAGGGGTGTCACTCATCCCGTGGTTTCCTGCCTTTCCTCCTGCTCAGCTGCTCTTTCCCAGCCGTGCTGCTGGGGGCACTGGAGGATGGTTTATCCCACACCCTTCCCCCTGGAATGTTTCCCTTCCCTTGTGTCAATATTTGGTGCTGTTTTCTTTCACCTTTGAAATGTTTCTGATCTCAGCCCGGCCCTGTCCCTGCTCTCAATTAAAGGGGCAAAGAATTTCTGCCTTTCTTTTCCTTTGGGGATTTTGCTTCCCTGTGAAAAATTCTAGGAAGAGTTGCTAGGAAGCAAATTGTTGTCCCTGCACCTGGCTGAAAGAATCTTTTCCTTCAGAAAGACCCTGGTTCATGTTCCTTATTGACTGGGAATCCCCCCAGGATGTGCCTGGGGAGTCCTCCTGGGCTGCTGCAGAGGGAGGAGTGTGGGTTGGAGTTGATAATTCCTATTTTTCCAGTTTTTCCATGCTGTCCATGCCTGGTGTGTCTGTAACTGCACAATGGCTCCTTATCTCTCATTCCTGGACTTTGGAATTGCTGATATGGCTCTGTCCCAGCAGCTTGGGAATGGCCCAGTTTGAGAATTCCCTCTGCTTGGCTTTGGCACAGCCAAATCCTTTGGTTTTTGCCACAAATACGGCTCAGAATGGTCACAAGTCCCTGTTCTCAGCCTGGAGAAAAGGAGCCTTAGGGGGGCCCCTCTCCCAAATTCCCTGACAGCACGGTGGAGCTGAGGGGGATTTGGGATCAGGGAACAAGGGAAAAACGGCCTCAAGTTGCACCAGGGGAAGTTTGGGTTGGATATTGAGAAAATTCCTTCATGGAAAGGGTTGTAAAGCACTGGAAAGGGCTGCCCAGGGCAGTGTGGGCATCCTCATCCCTGTGAATGTCCAAGGAAAGTGTGGATGTGGCACCTGGGGACATGGCCAGGGGTGCTGTGTTGGTGGTTGGACTCAATCATCTCTGAGGGCTTTTCCAACCTGAGCAATTCCATGGTTCTGTGATCCTGGGGTACTGCAGAGCCCAGCATGGAGTCAGTCCTTCAGCAAAGAGGAGGAAAGATCATTTTTATCTTCCTTTCAGCTCCGTGCTCCTGCTGTCCAGGAGGGTGTTGGCATTGGAGAGGTGAGAGCAGCTCTGGGGTACAGCCTGGAGAGCCTGGAGGAGATCCCAGGGATCCCAGCTGCTGTAAGGATCTGCACAATTCTGCATTTCCCATATGGCAAAAATGTGTTCCTGGTTTTCCTGAGGGTGGGACAGAGAGAAATTCCAGCTGGGGTTAAAGCCATGTTGGCTTCTGGGACAGCAGCAAATCTCTGTGCTCCTTCCTCAAGGAGAAGGAATGGTCATGGGGAAATGGAGATCCTGGATTTAGGGAATGGTTTGGCTGGGAAGGGACTCCAAACATTTCCCCATCCCACCCCTGCCATGGGCAGGGACACCTCCCACTGTCCCAGGCTGCTCCAAGCCCTGTCCAGCCTGGCCTGGGACACTCCAGGGATCCAGGGGCAGCCCCAGCTGCTCTGGGCACCCTGACTCGGTTTCCTCGAGGGACCCCTGGGCTTGGTCACCCTGGTAGGGCTCAGGATACCCGGACTGGGCAGGAGAGGGAGGTCCCTGATCCCAGCATGGGCCTGCCAGGGCTGGTTGCTGCTGTTGAGGGAGCTGGAGCTTCTCTGGGAGTGCAGAGCTCCCCATGAGCATCTGGCTGTGCCTGGGGAAGCTCCTGAGCTCCGAGCTTTGGGATTGTCCCTGGCCTCCAGCCCAGTTTGCCTCAGTTTTTCCATCCCCAGAATGGGTTTGATTGCCTGATGGGGAATCTTGGCTGTGACTGCACAGCACTTTTGGGATGGAAAACCTGAGGAGCTGAACCGGAGCCTGGGCTCAGAGCTGTGCCCTGTTCCCAATAATCCCTGCAGGGATTAATTAGTCACCTACCAAGTTCTGGGACTCATTAAGCCTCCCCCCTGCTGTGGGGAGGTCACTCTCCCCTTCCTTGCATGGAGGAATCGAGGCAGGGGAGCTGAAGCATCCGAATTCAGACGTTGGAGCTTCCACTTGCAGGTGGTTCTGCAGGTGCTTCCAGCCCTTGGATGAAGTGGGATTGGGTTGGAATCGATGAGATCCCTTTTTATTTTTATTTTGGATTTCTCTTCACTGCCACTCCTGTGACACTCAATGTCACTTCCTCTAAGGGACACTTTGCTGTTTCCCAGATTCCCGTGCTGGGGGAGCAGAAAGGACACATTCCCAGGGAAAAATGGAGTGTGGAACTCTAGGGCCCAGGCAGGAACTGGAGAGCTCAGAGGAAACAACCTGAGAGCACCAAAGGTCCAGGGACTGCTCCCTTGCACATCCAGAATTCCTGACACAGCTGGAGAGGGAGTCCCCAGCCCTGCAGGGATTTCACAGCCCTGTGGGGATGTGGCACCTGGGGACATGGTCGGTGTGGCCTTGGCCGTGCTGGGAGTGCTTGGATTCCATGACCTCAGAGGGCTTTTCCAACCCAAGCCATTCCATGGTTCTGTGCTCGTTGTGCCATTTCCATGGCTGCTTTTCCTGAGCCCTTGGAGCAGGAGGAATTCTTCAGACTCCTTAACTCAGCTGTGATTCCTTCCCATTCTCCACCCCTGGCCCTGGCAGGGATGAGTCCCCAGTCCCTTTCCCAGAGCTCATCCAGGTTTTTCATTCTCCACTTCCCAAATTTACCACATTTAGAAGTTTCTGTGAGTTCCCTTTCCTGGAACTGGGTTGGACTTTAGCAAATGGAATTGCATTTCCTCAGAGGGAATCTCCAAACCAGAGCTGGATCATATCCATAAAAAGCTTTCTCAAAGAGTTTGTTCAGCTGTGTCTGGCTTTGATGCTGAGGGGTGGGCAGCTCCCACCCCTGGCAATCCCTGGCTGGGAAAATGAAGGAGAATTCTGTCAATGTTAAATCATGGCTGCCCCATCCCAGGAAGTGTCCAAGGCCAGGTTGGACAGGGCTTGGAGCACCCAGGAATAGTGGAAGGTGTCCCTGCCCATGGCAGGGTGGACTTTAATGTCCCTTCCCACCCAGGCCACCCCATGATTTCTAACTGGCAAAAAATGGATTAGCTCAACTTCCAGTTTGATCCAAGCAGCCCAGAGTGGAGGGACCTACTTCAGGAGCTGGGAGTTGGCAGCAGATTCATGGGCCCAGGAACTTGTCCCTGCAGGTCCCAGGGCAGAGGTTTAGATTTCCTTGGCTCAGCTCAGGGCAGGTTCCTTCTTGCTCCTCCTGTCACTTTGGAATTACAGGAGAAAAGGGAGAGGTGGCAGCCTGTGGAAGTCTGGGAATCTGATTCTGGAGAGCTGGGAAAAGAGCAGTCCCAAGCCAGCCACCATTTGGGGGTTTGGCTTTTCCCTCCCAGTATCACCAGTTCTGGGGCAAAGGTTGAACTTCTTTCTTCTGGGGAAGGTGAACTGGGGAGAGCCTTGGTGGGATCTTGGTGGGAAAACCAACCACAAACCCAAGAGTGAGGCTGGAGTCACTCTGCACATTTGTCCAGAGCAGCTGTGGCTGCCCCATCCCTGGAAGTGTCCAAGGCCGGGTTGGATGGGGCTGGAAGCAGCCTGGGACAGTGGGAGGTGTCCCTGCCCATGGCATGGGATGGGTTTTAAGGTCCCTTCCCACCCAAACCATTCCAGGATTCCCTGACTGCAGGCAGGTCCTGCTCCATTGGGTCACAAACAGGGAGAATTTGGCTGTTCCTTCCTTGGGCTGTCAGTTCTGGAAATGGAAGTGCCTTGGCCATGAACCCTTGGGTTTGATTTCCAAGTGGGAATGGTTCCTTGGAGTCTCCAAGGCTTTATCCTCCCTGGTCCTGGTGGAGAAGCTGGCACATTGTGGAAGTTTCTCATGGAGCTCCTCAGTCCCTCTCTGGG